CCAGCGAGACAAAGAAAGCGGCCCCTTCCACCGCCTCCAGGGCCTCCCCCGCGCGGCTCTTCAGGGACCTCCGCGCCTGCGCCCACAGGTCCCTGTTTGGGGGCGTGGGGGGCATGCCTGAGCCCCGGAGCCTGCCCGGCCCCCACCAGCCCACAACCCCCGGGTGGCGGCGGGGCCCATGCGCCCCTGCCCTCCCCCCTCACCTGGGCGCGGGGGTCAGGGCTGCCAGGTGCTCCTCGTGCGGGCAGGCGGGCGAGGGACTGGTTGCTATGAAGCACACTGACCACCAGGGGGCAGACACTCAATGCAGACACTCTAGTGGTCAGTGCGCTCCCACAGTGGGAGTGCCACTCAGCTAACCATACCAACCTGTCCAGGTGGCCCACCAGCCCTATGGCAGCCACTCCCTCAGTAGTCATAAAAGTCCAATCTCCAGAGAATGGGCCAGGCACTGATGGACCAGCACTGCGAGCACGATCCTGACAGAGCTACCAAGCCTCCTGGAAGTTGGCCTCGGGCAACGCAGCTGCTTCCCCTCCCTAGATGCTCCGCACGGAAGAAAAGATACAAAAGCACACGCGGAAGAACCGGCCCCGGTGGAACACGGCCACGTGCCGGCTGTCCCGGAGGTGGCGCAGGTGGTCTGGGTGGGTGGGCAGAGTGTGCGGGCAGGAGGGTTGGAAACATTAAGAATAAGAATAGCAACTATGGCCCTGACCGGTTTGGCTCAGTGGATAGAGCCTCGGCCTGCGGACTGAAGGGTCCCAGGTTCGATTCTGGTCAAGGGCATGTACCTGGGTTGCGGGCACAAGCCCTTCCTGGTGTGGCTCATTGGGTGGAGCGTCAGCCTGCAGACTGAAGGGTCCCTGGTTCGATTCCAGTCAAGGACACATGCCGGGGTTGCAGGCTCAATTCCCAGTAGGGGGCATGCAGGAGGCAGCCCATCCATGATTCTGTCTCATCATTGATGTTTCTAGCTCTCTCTCCCTCTCCCCTCTCTGAAACCAATATATATTAAAAGAAAATAATAGCGACTATACTTCCTAGCGGCTTGCAGTGTTCTGGGCACCCATCTACCCTCACCACCCTCTATGTCCTTATCCCATCTCAGAGATGGGGAGGGTGAGGCCCAGAGAGGGTGACATGATTCTGTCTCATCATTGATGTTTCTAGCTCTCTCTCCCTCTCCCCTCTCTGAAATCAATATATATTAAAAGAAAATAATAGCAACTATACTTCCTAGCGGCTTGCACTGTTCTGGGCACCCATCTACCCTCACCACCCTCTATGTCCTTATCCCATCTCAGAGATGGGGAGGGTGAGGCCCAGAGAGGGTGACTTGCTCAAGGCCACACGGCTGGAAGACGGAGCTGGGATGCAACCCGGCGGCGGGCTCCATCGCACACGCTCTTGGCTGCTACACTGTCCGGTCTCCCAGAGCCAGGCAACGTCTGCAGAAGACCTCGGGCTCAGAGCTGCCTTCCCCCCAACCCCCCGGGGCCCACGCGGCCCCACGGCCACAGGACCACGGCCTCTGTCCCCCGGGGCCGCCCTCTTACCGGCAGGATCTCCTGGCGGTTCAGGCGGTGGCGGTAGAGCAGCAGGGCGTGCACAGCGTTCCCGGCGCGAGCAGCCTGCACGGGTGTGGGCGTGACATACAGGAAGTCCTGGGGGCCGAGGAGGGGGCAGCAAAACGCCCGGGGTCAGGTTTGCCCCTGATCCCCAAACTCAGACAGGTCTTGCCCCCAACAGAGGGCGAATGGTGAATTCAAGACTGTGATTTGGGTCACTGACCCCCCATTCCCTCCTCAGCTCCCAGCCCCCTTCTCCCCTCTCACCATCATATAATAGTTGCTATTCACCATCAGCGAGTTGCGGGAGCGAAGGTACACAAACTCTTCCCACCAGTCACTGACCTGGGGATGGTCACAGAGACGCAGAGCTGGGGTGGCCGGGACAGTGCAGGGGGGGCAATGGCAGGGCCCAGCACCCCAGACTTGACTGTGTCTGACAGGGAGGGCGGAGCCCAGCGCAGGAGGCCAGCCCGAGCAGTCGCTAGCAATAACCTAAAAGCTCCACTCATGCTGTGGAATATTACGCAGCTGTTAAAAAGAACAAGGTGCCCTGACCGGTTTGGCTCAGCAGATAGACCGTCGGCCTGCGGACGGAAGGGTCCCAGGTTTGATTCCGGTCAAGGGCATGTACCTTGGTTGCGGGCACATCCCCAGTAGGAGGTGTGCAGGAGGCAGCTGGTCGATGTTTCTCTCTCATCGATGTTTCTAACTCTCTATCCCTCTCTCTTCCTCTCTGTAAAAAGTCAATAAAATATATAAAAAAATAAAAATCATCATTCTCCCCTTTAAAAAAAAGAACAAGCTATATCTGTATTAGTGACACGAAGTGAGCACCAAGGTATGCCGCCGATGGCAAAGGCTGGGCACACAACAAGGTATGTTTATCGATCCCATCTGAGATTAAAAAATCAATAACCAGGCCCTAACCGGTTTGGCTCAGTGGATAGAGCATCAGTCTGCAGACTGAAGGGTCTCAGTTTCGATTCCGGTCAAGGGCACGTGCCTGGGTTGCGGCCTCGATCCCCAGTGGGGGGCGTGCAGGAAGCAGCCCATCAATGATTCTCTCATCATTGATGCTTCTATCTCTCTCTCCCTCTCCTTTCCTCTCTGAAATCAATAAAAAATATATATATATTTAAAAAGAACATCAGAGCGTGGAGAGAGGCTCACACTGCTGGGGGACGGAGAGTTCAGGTACTGGAGAGCGCAGAGGAGCTCAGAATATTGGAGCATCTGGGGCGGGTTTACATCATTGGAGCGTGGGGGCGGGGCTGAGATTGAGTAAGGGGCGGGGCTCAGGATGCCCGGTGTCCAGGGCCTCCAATGGCCGCAGGGCCTAGGGGTTGTGGGCGGGGCGTGGGGCGGGGCGTAACCCTGCCGGGTCAGCGAATGCGCTCGGACCTTTGCCTTCCCCACAAGGGACTCACGTAGTTGGACGCCCACCAGGACTTGAGCTGCAGGTACCACTGCAGCAGCGACGCCTGCAGCCGCAGGAATTCCTGAGCCAGGCCCGCCGTCCAGTCGAAATCCTCGTCCGAAAGGACAGGCCGGACGGACTCCAGGTACTGAGGGAAGAAGCGGAGAGGTAGGCAGGTCACCCCCCAAGCCCGCCCCGCCCGCCTCTCCTCCCATGCCCAGGGACCGGCCCACCTTGCGCACGGTGTCCTGCACCGAGGGCACCGGCTGGCGCGGCAGGGAGCGCTGGGAACTGAAGAGCATTGGGTGGCGGCCGGAGAAGATGCGGACCAGGGCCTGGGGAAGTGGGGATTGTGGGTCATCAAACCCCTCACTGGGGCTGGGGACCGGGGTGAGGTGTGTGTGGCAACCCACAGAGCAGATGGGACAGATACCTGCCCACAGGGGGACAGAGACCCAGAGAGAGGGGGACAGAGACCCAGAGGGAGGGGCACAGAGACCCAGAGGGAGGGGGACAGAGAAGTAGGCCCCCACAGGGCCCGAGCAGGGCTCTGCCCCTCACATACCAGCCAAGTCTTGGTGGGTGAGGACATGGCTCCGTGGGGTTCGAGGAGCCAGCCGTGGTAGGACAGCAGCACCCTGAGAGCCACGTGAAGTGTGAAGATCAGGGCTCCCCAGAGGCACGAAGCAAACAGTGCGGCCGCCAGGACGCCGCGAAGCCTGTGGTGCTGTCCACCCCTGGGCGGAGAGAGAGGAGGGGCTGGGCCTCCTGGCCTCAGAACGCCCTCCCCTCCAGCCTCACTAGGCCCCTGCCCTCCCTACTATTCTCTCGCTGGTCTTCCGGCTGCTGGAGGCTTTTCTTGTGGGACTAGAGTCAGTTAGAGGGTCCAGTTTCCTCATTTGTGAAGGAGGCAGGATCCTCTCGCAGCACCCTCTCCTCCCAGGACTGTGGGGACCCCAAGCTTCTAAAATCACCTCTCACTGTCTCATGGAAACTGGTAGGTGCTTAATAAGTGGTATTTCTATTAAAAGGACACTTTTCCCTCCCAGATATCAATTATACTCTCAGTGCGGTTCTCAAAGTGTGGGCTTTGGACCAACAGCATCAGCTGCACCTGGGAGCTTGCTGGGAATGCAGACTCCTGGGCCCCACCCAGACCTAGTAAGACAGAATCTGTTGGGTCGGGGTCCAACAATCAGTGTTGGGGTTTTTAAAAATGTTTTTATTGAGTCTAGAGAGAGGGAGAAGAGAGAGAGAGAGAAACATCAATGTGAGAGAGAAACATCGATTGGTTGCCTCCCAAGTGCCCTCCACCAGGGATGGAACCTGCAACGCGGGCATGTGCCCTGACCAGGAATCGAACCAGCAACCAACCATTCAGGGCATGAGACAACACCCAACCAATTGAGCCACACAGGCCAGGGCAGCAATCAATGCTGTCTTTTGAAAATATGTTTTATTGCCCTGGCTGGTTTGGCTCTGTGGCTAGAGCGTCGGCCTGTGGACTGAAGGGCCCCAGGTTCGATTCTGACCAAGGGCACATGCCTGGGTTGTGGGCTCGATCCCCAGTAGGGGATGTGCAGGAGGCAGCCAATCAACGATTCTCTCTCATCACTGATGTTTCTATCTCTCTCTCTCCCTCTCCCTTCCTCTCTGAAATCAATAAAAATCAATAAAAATAAATTTAAAATGTTTTTATTGATTTTTGAGAGAGAAGAAGGGAGAGGGAGAGATAGGAACATAAATGAGAGATATTGATTGGCTGCCTCCTGCATGCACCCCCATTGGAGATGGAACCCGCCACCCAGGCACATGCCCTGATCGGGAATCAAACCGGGGACCTCTTGGTTCATGGGTCAATGCCCAACCACTGAGCAACACCGGCTGGGCAGCAATTGGTGTTTGAACAAGCCTTCCCAGGTGGTTCCAAATTAAACTCAAGTTTAGGAAACTGGCCTACAGTTTGCAACATTGCTAACAGACATGGGAGCAGATCCCACCTGGAGGAGCTGGGGGAGTCGTTCCCCCCTGTGCACAGGGTAAATCCAGTCTTCCTGGAAATTTCTACCTCCAATGCAAGAGCAGGCCTTTGGGGCTGTCTGCCCCAAATCTGCCTTCTTCCCTAGGGGCACTTATGCAAGAGTTAGACCCTGCCGCTTCACCATCATCTGGTTGCCAAATCTTTCCCAAAGCCGACAGCAACAACTGTAATATGACAACCAGTCCCCCTTTAACAACCTCCTGGCACCGGACTGAATATTCCACATGCGTGATTTGAATTCTTCCAACCACCCTAAGAAGCAATTATCATTACCCCCATTTAATAAATGAAAACCCTGACACCTAAACTGGTGGTCTCTTACCTAAAAGTGCACAATCAGAGACTAGCAGAGTCACACCTGCATCAGTAAACATCACCATATCTGAGACATTTTCTAGTTTGTCACCATCCCTCCTAACAAGAAGCAGCCAGGATGGAAAGAAGAGAGAAAAGCACCTCCTTTTTTATTGATGCTGTACCTTTAGTAATCTGTCCCTTTTCTTTAGCAGGCACAGCACACCGATAGAGAAACTTACCAGGGGGAGGGAAAGGAACTAGGGAGGTTACTGGGCTGAAGTGGGAACTCACCAATCTGGCAGCAGCTCTTTGATCTTCTCCGTCAGTCCCAGGGAAGGATCCAGCTGGAGGAACCAGGCGAGCTGGATTGCACTGAAGAGGAAGAGCCAGCTGAGGGGGCTGGCAGGGAACACACCAGTGAGAACGTCATTCTGTGGGGAAGAAAGAGCATCCATTCAATCGCATCCTCTAAGCACAATCCTTAGATATTGAGCATCCAGCGTGTGCTGGGTTCTGAGCCGGGTGCTCAAGACCCCGTGGGTAGCAGACTGATCTAGATTCTATCCTCAGGGAGGTCAGTCAAGAATGAAGCGAGTGCTGATGGCAGGAGACAAGACACAGGAGCCCTGTGGTGGCAGGTTGCTCATCCTGAGGGAGTCAGGGAGGGCTTCCTGGAGGAGGTTACTCTCAGGAAGGACCTGGAAGGCAAAATGTTCCCCCAGACAGAGGAGCATCTGGAGCTCAGGAGGCCTTCTGGAGCTACCTGGCCGTGGAATGAATGAGGAATGGATGAAAGTGCTGGGTTACTAGTCAGATTCCTAGAGAAGAGTGAACAAGATAATTAACATGTAATGAGCCCTTACTACATGCCAGGTGCCCTTTACAAGGCTTAACTCTTGAAATCCTCCCACAACCCTGAGAAGTAGGTGCTAAGATTATCTCATTTTACATTAAAAACAAGCCCTAGTGGGTTTGGCTCAGTGGAAGGGTCCAGGGTTCAAATCCAGTCAAGGGCAGGCTCCTCCCTGGCCTGGGCCCTGGTCCGGGCTTGTTCAGGGAGGCAACCAATCGATGTGTTTCTATCACATCAATATTTCTCTCTGTCTTTCCCTCTTCCACTTTCTAAAAACCAATGGGAAAAACATCCTTGGATGAGGCTTTAAAACAACAAAACAGCCCTAACTGGTTTGGCTCAGTGGATAGAGCATCAGCCTGTGGACTGAAGGGTCCCAGGTTCGATCCCAGTCAGGGGCATGTACCTTGGTTGCGGGCGCATCCCCAGTAGGGGGTTGTGCAGGAGGCAGCTGATCGATGTTTCTAACTCTCTATCCCTCTCCCTTCCTCTCTGTAAAACATCAATAAAATATATTTTAAAAATATAAAAACAACAAAACAAGCAAACAAAACAACACGGCTTCAAGATCACACAGAGAGCAATGACAGGATAAAAGCTACCACCGACCATTAGCTGGGGCATCCCCATCCCGGCTCAAGCGACCTCTTTCTCTCTTCTTCCCACACGTAACGATTAGGAAGGCCTCAGAAATCAGGCTTTAGAACCTGGGCTCTGGAGACCACCCTCTGCTCTGTCCCTAACTGGCCGAGTGATGGCAAGCACGTGCCCTCTCCGTGTCCTCTGTAGAATGGGAGCGATCACAGAGCTGTCACAAGGGCCGGATGAGACACTGTCATTCCACAGATGCTAACTGGGGCCCCACAGCAGTGGCCAGACAGCAAGATTCCTGCGGTCACGGGGGACAGAGAGAATGCCTGCGTAAGGGAAGGACTCAGGGCAATGTGTCGGACAGCGCTGGGTGCTAGGGGGGAAAATAAAGCAGAGAGGGGGCCTGGGGAAGGGCCTGCCTGGCACAGCTCAGAGCCAGGCACACAGCAGGTGCCCAATAAATGTCACCACAGCGAGCCTTTCTGCTGCTGCTCTGCTCCTGGGGGGTTCATGTACTTGACAGGCTGTCTTCCTTTGGCTCGGCAGGAAACGTTACGGGCACATGTGGTTATTTTTGTTTCCTTTTTTGTTAATCCTCACCTGACGGTATTTTTTTCATTGCTTTTCAGAGAGAGAGAGAGAGAGAGAGAGAGAGAGAGAGAGAGAGAGAGAGAAACATCGGTGAGAGAGAGACACAACAACTATAAAAAAAAAGTAGGCACCAGATCAGGGGTGGGGAGTAAACTGTAACCCAGGTTACACTCAACCACTGCACTCCCCCCCCTGCCGGGCGGGAGCACCCACTTTAAAGCCTGCAGATGAAAGAGGAAGATGAGAAGTGACCATGGGAAGGGCACTGAGCTCTAGAAATTGGGGTGCAAGTCGTGTCTGGAGGCGTGGGGAACGTGGGGGTCCCAGAAGTGGGTGCAAGCGGTGAATAGGGGTTCCCAGTGGGTGAGGCTGAGGATCCCTGAAGTGAGCCACAGACCAGGAAGGAGATTTCAGAAGTCCCGGGAGCGGACAGCTTTCCCAGAAGGAGGGCCACCTAGATGCCAAAGGTGGGCCTCGGGCAGCCCGGAAACCGGGAACGGGATCCCCGGAAGGAAACCGAGCCGCAGCCCTCCTCACCCAGAACCGGGAGAGATGCCTTTTCCAGGAGCGCAGTCCGGACAGGTAGATCTCCTGCAGCGCCGAGGCACTGAGGTCCGCTTCCGCCCCGTCCGAGGGCAGTGAGGGTCGGAAGCCCACGGCTTGGTGCGCTTCGGCCATGTCCGGCCGGGCCCCTGGGGGAGGACAGTCACTCCCTAAGCCCCCAGCTCGCGGCTCCCCCAGACCCAGGAGTCCAGGACCCCAGCCCCTCCTCAGACCCCCAGGCTCCTCCCGCAGACCCAGGCGTAGAGGACGCCAGCTCACCCTTCCTAAGGGTCTTGAGGGTCCCGGCCAGACACTCGGTGTTGGGGGGACCCTCCGTTGGGGACCTCAGTGGATACACACGGAGGCGGAGAGCTACCTCACGTTTGCCTCTCGGAGGCTCTGCTGAGACTGGTGCGGGGGTAGTGCCTCCTCCCCACAGCCGCCTCCCCACATAGGACTTTCAAAATTCGGGGGCGGAGGGGGGAAATCCGCCCAGGGAGAGTTACGGGGTCTCCGAGAAAAATATCACTCCGAGACCCATTTGAAACAAACACCTGCCAGACGCTGGCATTGTCCCCCCATTTCCGTTTCCCATTCCAAGGATTGGGGGTGGGGGTGGGGGCGG